ATTTTCATATGTGATATGCAGTGAGGTGGGGTGTCACTCCGTGTTCTGTAATAGTATATGGGTAGTATCTATGGTAGAAAAAACAAAAGCTTAGAATTTGAACAGAGTTGGGTTTAGATTCTGCTAGTGCCATGATGCGGGTAACCTATCCCAAACTCAGCTTCCTCATTTAGAAAGAAGAAAAATCACACCTATCTCAGAGGGCAATTGTAGAGTTCAAGGAGATATTATATTTCAATAGGTGCCTAGTAGCTTTAATATTCTATGATTTTGTTCTAGTTGTAAACTGATCTGACTATAATCACCAAAAGAAGAAATAGTCTTCTTTTGAAAACCAAAAGAAGAAATGGTAATTCATAAAAGAAAACCTTTTAAAAATTAAGTTAAATTTTATAAAAAATTATTAATTTCTAAATATGTTATAGGCTATGATATACTCAAATAATAAATTATTTTAAAGGGGGTATTCAGCCTTTGAGCTTTCATAATTTAGAGAGAAATCTTACAAAAGTTTTATTCCCCTAAGTAACTCAAAATTGAATTCTGAATCCAGTAGCAGATTCCAGAGCCTCTAAGGATAATGAGAAAATTATCTTCTAAAGAGAACCTGTTTTCAATGAAGTAAAATATTATGTGTTACCCAATCACTTTCAGTAAAGGGGTTCCATTCATGTAATAGAAATATTTGGGGACATTTATACCATTTTGTCCTAAGACAATGAACGTTTATCTTTTAGACTAAATGAGCATTTATCTTTGTAACTTCTTCCCCATGCCAATTTTAACTGCTTTTTTGGTCATCATTTACTTCAAGAAAGCTGACAAAATCGAATTTAAGTAGTTTCTTGATATCCTTTATTGTACTTGATGTGGTCAAAATTAGTCTTCTCCTTCATCAGTTATTGTGGAATTCTTGCAGACAAACAAACAGGAAGTGCCAGATGGCTGAATTGGACCAAAAATTGAAGTGCTTTCTCCCACCAAAAATGCAGAAATGCAGGAAATTTAATAGTAAACAAGACTGACATCTTCTGCTTCCTAATGATAAAGTAGGAATGAGAGAATAATGATTTTGATTAATATGTACTGAACACTTACATTGTAGACATTTTTCTAAGATTTAGAATTAATCTTGCTTAAATCCATCATCACACTTGATGCTCTAAACAATCCTATGGAGTGAGTGGTGACTGTCACCCTCATTTTACAGCTGAGGAAACTGAGGCATAGACAGGTAACTAACTTAGCAAAGCCTCACAGTCCATCAGTGACAGAGGGGTGTTTTAACCCAGACAATCCTGCTCTGGAGCCCACACATTCAATCACAGATGCCATGGGTATCCATTGTAAAGGTCCCTTTCAATATTTTAATTACCATTTTATAATGTAGCATTTTTATTAACAGTAATAATGTGTATGTTTGAGTAGCCTATTTATGCTCATAAAACATTTGATATAAGTCTATTTCCCTGGGCCCTTATGATATAAGCAGGTACAAACATCATCAATTTAGTTAGGGAAATAGACTGCAAGAGATGTAATGACTGGAGGATTTAAACATAGGACTTCTGACTCCAAGTCCAGTGCACCTTGCTCTGTACAAAGTTTTCCTGAGAAAAATCAAACCCTGCAATCTGCTGGTGGGTCTGTAGCCACCAAAAACTAACAGTTAACAGCATTTCTTCAACAGCAAGACTCATTGAACATTTACTTTCTGCCAAGGACTATGTAAAGCATTCTGTTAATCTCATGTAAGCCTCTGTCTTAGCCCTCGTGAGTTCATTTAACACTTGTATTTTTAAAGTGATGGATTTGAAGCTCAGATAGATTAAGCAACTCCTCTCAGGCTGCATAGGTCCTAATTGACCTGACAACAACCTAAACCAAGCTGGGCTTGGCATTTGAACACACATCTATTCAATTGCAAAATTTTCATATTCTTTAACACTAAAAGATAAACCTGATGAGGGCAGATATGGTGGTGTCCTTCCAGAACCTGTAGAACTGCTGGCCACAGTCAGTTTCCAACTAGCACACTGTATTAGCTATCTACTAATGTGTGATATCGCCACAAACTTGGAAGCTAAAACAACACTCATTTATTTTCTCATAGTTTCTGTGGGTCAGGAATCCAGATACTGACCAGCTGGGTCTCTGCAAGCCTGCAATTAAGATTTCCACCAGGGCTATGATCTCATCTGAAAGCTTGATTAGGAAAAATACCCATTTCCACATCTACTTGGTTGTTGGCAGGATTCAGATCTTTACAAGAAATCAGAATGAAGGTCTCAGTTTCTCACTGATGATTGGCTTGCGACTACCCTCAGTTCCCAGATTGTTTTTAGCTAAAGCCATCCTCAGGTTCTTGACACATGGGCATTCACTACATCACTTCTTGCCTCCACAAATACATCTAGGGTCTTCTAGCATGACAGTTGACAGCTTTATGACACATAATCCTGGAAATCACATCCCATCACCTTTGCCATATTCTGTTGATAGAAAGCAAGTCATAGGCCCTGTCACCCTGAAAAAGAGGGATACTACAGACATTAGTATTAGATGGCAAGGATGCTTAGGGATGATTCCAGAGTTTGATTATGGCCAATCCCTCTGAAGTCCAATTCATGCCAGAAGTCTGGCATGAAGAACAGACTTCTGGTTCGCAGAGACGGTGGCCTCTTCTCTTAAGAAATCTTGAGATATAAGACAAGAAAGCAAATTTTTGCCTCTTTAATGAAATAGGATACATCTGTAATCATGAACCTCAATATAAAAAGAAAAGTTCACAAATAATAGAAAAATCTCATAGGGGTGCATGAAGAGCCAAGAAAAGATGCGCATGGCTATAGAAATTAGGCAAAGCTAGCAAACAGGAGTTCTCAAAACATGAGCATACCCAAGGTACAAAACCACAGCTTGCCAGTAGAGATTTTCCATTAACCCTTTTTGGTATGAAGCCTTGAAAGGTTAGGAAGGTGGAGCTGAACGAAGAATCACAAACAAACCATGGTTTGCAAGAAGCAGTCTGTCAGGATGACAGGAAGAAAGTAAGAGACTGTATTGGGAATATTCTGCTGTGCCAATCTAGTTTGGGTGGGAGGAATGAAGATGGGAGAACACACACTTATACAATCCCATTATAAGGAAGATTCCTGCTGGCCTGGCACAGGGCTCTGGCACTTCCCAGACACAAGTCTTCTGCACACAGCTTACCTATAAACAATTCACCTAATTCAAACATGATTATTAACTTAAAGGAATAAATATAAGACTGATAAAAACATTATAAGAAGAAAGAGTAAAAGCAACAGGAAAAGCAAAACAACTTAAAAACACATGCATATTGCAACAGGGCAGATGAAAACTTTAACAACCACATCACAATTTAAAAATAACAATAATGGACTGGGCGCAGTGGCTCACACTGTAATCTCAACACTTTGGGAGGCCAAGGTGGGTGGATCATCTGAGGTCAGGGGTTTGAGACCAGCCTGGCCAGCTGGTCTAGACTGACAAAGTGAAGAATTTTTTGCCAGCTAGACAAAAAGATTGGGTTAACTAAAGAGAGAAAAAATACAAAACTGGCTAAACAGTGAGCAAGCTAAATGATAATTGGCCTAAGCAATGAATAAAACCAAACCAAAACAAAAACAGTTAAGTGATAATCACTTCCAAAGTCCTTGAGGATAAGATGTGACCAGTAATAAGGCAATAGGAAAATCTTGTATGAGCATGTTAGAAGTCAGAGAATACTCATGAGTCCTTCTTGAAGAAAGCATGAGCACATTAGGACAAACTTTATCCAATTAAGAAATTAAAGGAGACTAGGGTGGAGAAGAATACTGTTGTCCAGGCTGGAGTGCAGTGGTGTGATTACCGCTCACTGCCGCCTAGACGTTGTAGGTTCAAGTGACCCTTCCACTTCAGTCTCCCAAGTAGCTGGGACTACAGGTGTGCACCACCATGCCCAGCTAACTTTTGTATTTTTGTAGAGACAAGGTTTTGCCATGTTGCCCAGGCTGGTCTCAAACACCCGGTCTCAAGGAATTCATCCGCCTCAGTCTTCCAAAGCGCTGGAATTATAGGTGTGAGCCATAATATACCGCGCCTGGGCTGTATACATAGCTTTTTGATAAAAAGTCTAAACTGTACTTTAAAAAACAGATGTGGGTTTAATAATCTGAAATATTTTCATTTTCAGATTAAACTTCGCTTGATTGCACTATAATTGATATGTATACTTAAACCTATATGTTCAATGTTATACTCTGACATGGCACATCTTGTTTAACTTCGTTTCTGTGATCCAACAAGCTCTCATTATATAATAAACTAGTTTAAATTGTAAAAAATAAAAAAAATGTTTTAAAAAAAGAAATTAAGAGAGACTCCAGCAAAAGGAAAGTAACGAGCATTGAATACGCAACTTTAAGACAGTCTAAACCAGCTACGGATATTATAGTTACAGAACACAAGGAAGTGTTATGAACCTTTACAATGTAGATAAGAAATAACTAACAAAGTTTGGGAGGGTAAATGAGAAGGAATGGTGGCAAATAATGTAAGTATTTATTTCCTTATAAAAATATACTATTCAAAGCTGTTAAACAAGGGCCGGGCGAGGTGGCTCAAGCCTGTAATCCCAGCACTTTGGGAGGCCGAGGCGGGTGGATCACGAGGTCAAGAGATCGAGACCATCCTGGTCAACATGGTGAAACCCCGTCTCTACTAAAAATACAAATAATTAGCTGGGCATGGTGGCGCGTGCCTGTAATCCCAGCTGCTGGGGAGGCTGAGGCAGGAGAATTGCCTGAACCCAGGAGGCGGAGGTTGAGGTGAGCCGAGATCGCGCCATTGCGCTCCAGTCTGGGTAACAAGAGCAAAACTCCATCTCAAAAAAAAAAAAAAAAGAAAAAAAAAAAGCTGTTAAACTAAACCATAGATCTATAAATATATTAGAAAAATAGGAAGTTAAACACTTAAGAAAAATTACATACCAAATGGAAATTGAATGATATAGAAGAGAAGAATAAGGAGAGACAAAAGAATCATGCTGATGTTCTTGGCTTACTGAGGATAATCAAAAGACTATCTGTAGAAATAGAAGATTGATTTAGTATATAAAATTATGGACATGAAAATGATTGCTGAAACAAAATATTTACAACTCTAAAAATATACATATACTATATATATATAATGTTTTTATATAACATAACACATATTGTTGTTACGGTTAATTTTTATCTGACAACTTAGCTGGGCCACGGCACCCAGATATTTGGCCAAACATTATTCTGGAGATTGCTGTTAAGGGTTTTTTGGATGAGACTGACGTTTAAATTGGTGGACTTTATCCATAATGAGTGTGGGCCTTATCTAATCAGATGAAGGCCTTAACAGAGAAAAAGTCTGACCTCTTCTAGACAAGAAGAAATTCTGCCAGTAGATTGCCTTTGGACTCAACTGTAACTCTTCCCTGGGTCTCCAACCTACAAGCCTACCCTCCACAATCACATGAGCCAATTCTTTAAATTAAATCTTTGTCTCTATATTATATGTATATACATCCTATTGGTTGTTTCTCTGGGGAACTCTGACCAATATCTATTATCTATCTATCTATCTATCTATCTATCAAATGTTAAACTCAAATATAATACATAATTCTAAAACATTACTCCATGAAAACTGAGACTATAATTTTTCAACATCCCAAGAAACTCAAGAAATATTTACAAATGTTGACCATTTATTAGGCCCAAAGAAAGTCTCAACATGTTACAAAATGTGAACAGTATAGTCAACATTCTCTAATTACAATGTGATAAAACTAGAAATCTGTTAGCAAATTAGAAAAAAGTCTTTTTCTCATGTAACTCTTAGTTCAAAGAGGGAAAGTGAAAGCATATTTTACCAACAAAATACAATGATCAAAGCGTTATCAAAATCTGTGTGAAGTGTTCAGGAGAAAATGTATAATTATATTAATAAAAAGAAAAAATTATGCTTGTATAATATTTTAATAACAAATAAGAAAATATACTTAAATAAACTTACATTAATAAATATGAAAGAATAAAAATAAAGCGACTCAAGAAGGTAAAGAAAGAACTGTAAAACTAAAAAGCCTAAGAAAGAAAACATTATAAATGAAAGCAGAAATTAATAATTCGGGACAGCATAATCATAAAACTAAAGAGAAAATCATGTTGGTTTTCTTGAGAAAATACAATATACAAGCCATCAACTAAAATTTAAAAGATAGAATGATGTAGAAAAAGCTTTCCTAAGGGGGAAAAAAAGCAAAAAGAAATGTTTAGAAGATTGATAAATTTCACGTATATTTTTTTAAATATTGGGGGAAATATCACTTAAAAAGTAAGAAGCAATGACAAACTGGTTAAAATATAAAAGTCCAATTAAAATCACAGAAGACCAATATCTACAGAGCTCCTACAATCAACAAAAAGTCAATACCCGGTTTTTAAAAAGAACAAAGAATGTAAACAGAAAGTGAATTACAAGTGTCTCTTCAAAATAAAATAATGTTTGACCTCATTTGTAAAAAAATAAAAATTAAAACTATGTTATCTCTTTTAAAATCAGTTAGACAATATAAGATCAAAATATTTGGACACAGGTTGGCAACAATGTAGAGAAACAGGCATTCCCCTCACATAGTTGGTGGTAATGTAAATTGGTAAAATCTCTATTAAAAACAACTTAGTGATATCTATCAAAATTATAAAGGCATAGATCCTTTGACTCAGCAATTTCTACTTTTGGTACTTTATTCTACATATATGGCTGCACACATGTGAATGATGTACACCTTATTCATTAAAGAATTGTTTGTAAAAACAATCCTTTGGAAGCTATGTAAGGAGCTATCAATGTTGGAGCGGGTGGAAGGAAGATCAAATCCATGTCATCTTACAGATTCACACAGACAGATCCAAACAAATTTCTGATCATCATTCTCCCATTTTTGACACCTGGACTGAAACCAAATACTTTCAAAAAAGTTTTCAAATTGAAAAAAGTTTCAACTTTTTTGAAAGTATTATGATATAGTCTTATAATTGAATACTACTGTATATGACCATTAAAAAAGGAATCAGATGGCTCAATATGAATTGATACGAACTAATTTCCAAGACACAATGCATATATTGTTAAATGAAAAAGACCCCAGTGTGAGTTAGTTCAGAATTCCAACATTTGGTGTTTTAAGCAGTAAGAAACATATATACATGCTTTTGCACATGCATAGCACATGACTGTCACGATACACAAGAATCTTATAATAGCAATTGTCTTTGGAGAAAGAAACCAGTGGCAAGTGCAAGAATGAGAGCGAGTCCTACTGTTTACCATCAGCCATTTTGAACATTGTTACCTTTGTACCATGCTTGTATATTATTCACTCAAAAATAAATGAGTAAATATTGAAAAAAGGGAAAATTATCTGAGAGCTGACTGTGGGATTTGAGTTCTAAGCATTTAGTTCTAAGGATCTGAGGTTGGCTCAGAACTGTTTACCCACCATACCCCTCCCCAACTGCCACAATTCAAGATCCATTTCTCTGATTCTTAAGGATTCAAAAATCATTTCTGTACAGGCTTGAGATGTGCCAATTGGTCAGCTGTGTGGGTCTTTAACTTAAGCCCATTCTGTTCTGAGTGTAATACAATGTCATTGACTAATAACACCAAGGATCTACAGATAATGAGGAGACGTGACCTAGAAAAGCAGGAAGGTATGAGGAAGAATGGGAAGTCTGAGGGCCTGTGGCCAGCCAATTACCAACTTGGTAATTGAGAGACTGCTTAGCAAGATGCCCCACCCTTAAATAGAAGGATGCCTACCCCATTTCTTATCCCTCGCCCTGCACTAAGCCAGCCTGAAATAGATAGAAGGAAGCACAGCTACATATGAGGGAAATCGCAGTGTCCTTTCTCAAGAGCAGTAAACATCATTTATTTGGGTTTTGTTGCTTCTAAGATCTATTGTCTTCTGAAATCTAATTTGCTATGTGCCCTAAGCTTATTTGGGGCTCCATGGAACAGAAATTAGTGCAAGGTAGCAGAGTCTCCATGCAGGCCTGAACAAGAGGAGCTCAGTCCATCTTAATAACCTCACTAATGATCAGAAAGAGAGGGCTGACAGCATATAAAAACAGACAGCCTGGTTGGAACAGGTGGGAACATTTCTGAGAATGTCCTCTGCTTTTTTTTTTTTACATTATTAGCACCCAGAGTATTTTTGCTTTGTGAGAGAATTTAATCTTCAGGACTGTTTTTTTTTTAGAGCTGCCATCAACTCCAATAAAGAGAGTACGATTATTGCAGGGCAAAGAGGCTTGCAGGCTCAAGGAGGCAGCAATTCAAGGGTGTGCAAAGGAATGCTGTGTGGTCAACCTCCTTAGCCTCCACTGGGTGCTCATCTCTGGATTAGAACAACTAGATCAACTAGGAATAGGTTTTACTACTGAAGTTACTTTTCGTCTGTCTGCTTTTCAGACCTAGGAGAAGGTGTACTCCTGAATTTGTATTATGGAAAATATAAAAATAAGTTTATTCTTCCATTCATTGAATAAAATGCCAAGTACATATTGAACACGGATGAGTGAAAGAGAGGCAGCCTGTGACACCGAACAAATGTAGGGCCCATCCCTGCCCACTTGGAGTTTACAGTCCAGGTGGTAAGATGTATATAGCATGCATGAGAAGAACCAGGGAAGGCATGAGTTTGCACTTGATTTTTAATTGACTTCACTGCCTTTTTTCCATGGCTGACAGTTTTTACTTACATTCAGGCTCTGCCAGGAAGAGTCTGTAGGAGAAGTTCAGTGGATCAACTGGCCTGTACCAAGTATAGCACCCTCCTCCACCAGGCTGCAACATAGTTTTCAAAAGCAGGACTGTCTGGGAAGGGTTGGGGGCTTTAGCTGGACCCAGAAGCTAAAGAGAGAGGCCTAGGTAGGGCACTTGAGGCAAGAAAGCCGTATGAACTAAACCTTGGAGGCTAGGATGGACTTGACCTGAGAATAAAGTTTCAGAAGGCCTCAGGGGGCCATTTGTAAAGGAGAAGGCTTTTATCAGCCTTCTCAGTGAGGAGACAGCAGGAGAACCACAGTCAAGACCCATGCCTCCTCTCTCTGGAATGCTTATTTCCATTCTGAATTCAGAATGTCCCAGTGATTTGCAGCTACTGGTAAACATCTGAGACCCAAGACCCTAATAGTCAGGTGAGCAGAATTAGAATTTGCTGCAGCACTTCTAGTTCCATGTCATTGACAAATTACCCAATTTTTCTGGCCTATGAAATGAGAATTTTAATATCTACCCTGCAGAGTTTTTGTGATGGTCAAATTTGAATATATGAAAAGGGTATGACACATAATAGGAACCCAAAAATGGTAGTCATTGTTATTGGGAAAGGTTAAATGTGCTCCTTGAAAAAAATATAGGGAAGAGAAACAGGGCTTTCTGTACAATATCTGGCACTGCTCTCAAAAGGAAAGAAGATTGATATCTACTGTGTGTTGGGGTCCTGGACCTTCTGGGCCACTTAGGTAATAAATATTCAAACACTGGATTACAAGATAGGCTCTACTTGCCAGTTTTGGTATTTATTTTCATACCATTTTATTATTGTCATAGGGCCATTAGTTAATTATATGATTCAATGTCTTTTAAGGTTTGTAATATATAAATTTTAAAATTTATATCAATGAAAATGGAGGGAGAAAACCCCAGGGCAGAGGACATGTCTTGATTTGTGTTTTGTAGAACAGTTCAGTCATAACTCTGGTCTCTCTATAACATCTAAATCAGGGTTTCCAGGGGTCACCACTACCAGCAAGTTGCCAGTTTCCAATAGCCTTGGAATGAGGCTGCTGGGCCAAGAGCCCTCATATGGAGCCAGGAGAGAAACCCTTCTGAAATCCACAGGTGCATTATGCTGCTTATAAATAGCAGGTGTCTCCAACCCAGAGGCTGATGGCCTAAGAAGCTGGCTTTGGGCTGGCTTCACCAAGGACAAAATAAGTATAACCTTTTAGTTTCTGTGTCCCTAAGGGTTTAAAAGGACTTGCAAACAAATCTGGCTGCTCAGGGCTGCACCATGATGGTCTCTGACCCTAGGACCATTTGCTTTCATGGGCTCCTTCCTTCATAGAAAACATCTTAAATTATATTTAATTATATGTGTTCATATAAAGATTAATTATTAATATTGTATATTACATTTTTGACCTAAACATTTTTTTTCTTTTTTAAATTGTTGTTCCCTGTACGTGATGTCATAATGCTTTTGCTGCTTTTGAGATTCTTGTGTGTTTTTATTAATGCATAATAATTTTACATATTTATGGGGCACACATGATATTTTGATACATGCATACAATGTATAATGATTAAACCAGGATGATTAGCATATGCATCACCTCAAACATTTATCTTTTTTGTGTGCATTAAGCACATTCCAAATCTCCTCTAACTATTTTGAAATATACAACAAATTGTTGATAACTATAGTCGCCTTACTACTACTGGGCTATTGAACACCAGAACATGTTCCTTCTATTTAACTGTATTTTTGTACCCTTTAACCAATTTTCTTCTTCTTCTGATTTTAAAAGAAATTAAAAAGCTTTGTGGGCCCTAGGCACTGTGCCTACTGTGCATTCTGAATAATTAGGTCCTGATGGGGGTCATAATTAAATTTTAAAAGGTGATGGCAGGGAGGAAAGAATTGCAAATATGAAAAAACAAAAAAACACACATCACAGAAGAGTACAGAGTGGTAAGTTAGAGAAAGCAGCAAATTGGATGGCCAAATTTTGTCAAAGCCCCGAAACACAGTCTTACTTTCTCAGAGGTTAAATCTCTAGGTCTTGAGAATTTGCTAATTTTACATTCAGGCTGATTACAGCTTAATGCAAAGCACCATGGTGATCACTTTTCAGGAGCAAATGTTTTTCTGATTACTTTACATTTGTGTATCTAAAACTAGTATTTCATGAATGCTAACTGCTACAGTTTGAGTTTCCAATTGAATTGTCAAATGGTGACTTTGTTCTTTCACTTGTAAACTTCCATGTAGTGTTTATAGTTTCTTTAGCTTTTCATTTTTTCCAGTGATTTTGAAGTATGTTTAGAAGCTCAGTTCCTGCCAGCCACCCTGGAGGAGGCTTCAGAAAGAGCTGGGAGAATTATGTAAAACCTTATACAGTACTGTCAGAAATTTCACTTTTAACCTGTCCCCAGGCCTGTGTTGTTCCGACCCAAGATCTGAACACAGTCAATACATTTGGCACTCTCTCCTGCCAGTCTCTAGGACCTCCCTAGAGGAAAGCAAGGGGTGCTTTGGAGACATCGTTTTCTGCCCCATGTGAAATAACACTCCTGCCCCATGCTGTTTACTTCAGTGTCAGGACACCTGCTCTCAATTGTTTTCCTGTTTTTGGAGACAGTTACCTGATGTATCCCTTCTCTTTAAACTAGTTCCCACTCCCATCACCTATTGCATGAAGGTTGTTTTCCTCTAAGAAGAGAGAATAATACTTATTGAGCACTTAGTATTAGCCTAAGTTGGTTCTTTCCCGTCATCATCTCATTTAATTCTCACACCACTTAGAGGTGAAAGCAATAGTCTTTAAAAGATGAGGAAACCAAGGCTCAGAGAGGAAAAAAGTGAGAAGACTCAGCCATAAAAATGAGAGGAAAGAGAACATGTACCAGAGAATTAAAGATACAGTTTTACTCAGGCTATTATAAGGCGAATGATCATTAATGAGAACTTCCTCAAAGAAAAGGAAGGGGGCCAAGGGTTCTATGCAAGCAGGTCACTAAGGGAGCTGTCCGTGAGTCCTACGGGAGTCATGAGGAAGGATGGAGGTGAGTTTGTCTTGGAATATACAAGGGCAGGGTGGTCCTCTGTAGTTAGCCTCCTGGGACACAAAGGAGTAGGGTGGCAGATTTCATAATTGTCACAACTTTCAGGGAGCACAAGACTCAGAAAAAGTTCAATATTGTCAGTCCACCTTTTGTTCAAGGCAAATGTCACTTATTGTTGAACAACTCCGAGGTGATCATAAACCTCCTTGAGAGGGTGGAGCAGGATCCAAGAAAGGGTCTCCAGAGGACATTGTTAGTGTTGTTTCTATAAACCACCTGAACCGTCTGTGGAGAGTCAGTGGCAAAGATCAGTTGTTTTAGGGTCTGAAGACCAGGCTTCTTGAAAGGGGAATGCCCAAAATGAAAAAGGGAAGCATTAATATGAACACTGGCATTGAAGGAAAGAGGTGGGAGTGAATCTGAAGGTTAACAAGTCCAATGAGTTCAAGACGTTTGTGGAGGAAACTCTTTCAGTTATCGAGCATCACTCTTTGAGTTTCTTTAAACTCCAAAGCTTGGATGTTGATGCTCTTGGTGACATCATCCATTGTCTTGGTTCCCTTTTATAAAAGGGTATGTATGGCCTAAACATGTCACTGGATTTCCTTGTTTGTCTAGATACAATTTGTTTAGAGAGAACTCTGGCTTATGCATGGTCTGCTAAAGTGGTGAGTCCTTAGAGGTTTGCACCAAACTGTCAGGCTTCAGTTTATAAGATTTCTTCAGGTCCTAGGGAAAAGAGCCAGCTGCAAGGTAACCTAAAGTAATGATAGAGATCTGGTCAGTCAGGTTTTTAGTTCCCAGTGATGCTGAGCCAGGTGGGAAGGAGAAAAATTGAAATAGTTCAAAGGATTGTAGCTAGATCTTGAAGAAAACTGAAAGGATTAAAAATTTGGTTAAAAAAAATGGACAGTATGGTCCAGGTGACAGATCAGTTCAGTTTTGTCCAGGAGTTAAAGAGAAAACAAGTTAAATATCTACCAGACAAGACAGAGTTGGCACATCTATTATTTACTTGCAATTTTAAAAGGTGAAAGATCCCATGAGAGTTCCTACAAGAATAATGCAACTACAAAAAGAATTTGTGTCTTTGTAAAACAAAAGTCAATCCAAAAAAAGCTGAGATAAAATATCTATAAATATAATAATTAACCCTATTTTCAAAGAAAAGTAGATATTATAGCTAATTTATAAAAATGGATGAACATCATCTTTACCAAAACAACTTTAGATTTAACACACTGTAATCCTTAGATATAATAAACCATGAAGATATCAAGTATATAGTTTTAAAAAAATACCAGGAATATATCAGAAGTAATCAAGTGAAGAGATTCTGCAATCCTACAATAGGTCTTAAACATTTGTATATCAAATAAAACTCCACAGTTTTATTAAATGATGTTAATAAAACTTCATAGATTAAAAAAAATTCCACTTGAGAACCATGAGCCTAAAAGATGTTAGATTCAATTTAAATAAGTAAATTGCAGTTCAGTTCACAACTTTAAAAATAACTGAATTGTGACTATACTGTTGTTTTTTGGCATCAGGCAAAGCAGTATCAGGACTATATCATAGACAGCGAGAGAACTGACAAATATCCAAGAGCTTCCCTTACAGCATATGATTCTGAAATATTTGCATTAATAATGTTACCTACACAAATTTATCATAGAAAAGGTTAAGCATCTGCATGTCTTCTGATTTGGCAATGCTTTGAAATTCATCAAGAGTAACATATCACATACACCTCATTATTTCTAGTTTCTCTCTTTTTACAAGGTGAAAGAACAAATTCTTTGTGATTTTCTAGGGTCCCCCTAAGAAATCTCAAAAACACCTTTAGGTGCAAAAGACATCACTTAGGAATCAATTTTGTAAATGCAAAAATCAAAAGTTGTTAGGAGATTTGAACACCTAAGATAGGAATTCGATCATGGGTGTCTGAGAGGTAATATTTTACTTCTCATTTCAAAGTGACAATAAAACATTTAAAAATAAGCCTAAAAGATA